CAGCTGGAGCTGAAAGTCGTGCAGCAATCAAACATGCCAGCACCTGATAGCCAGCTGGAAGAATCAATTAGTTAGCTAACTAATTGTTAGTTTGATAGTTGAGAATTATTCCTTTCTTCTGTTAGTGAGGTTATTAGTTAGGGAGTTTGTTAGTTCACAATTCTATAAATACATTGCTGTATTTCATGATTAAACAAGTTGAAATAATAGAAAGTTTCATCTTCCTTCTTCTTCTTTTTGATTAATGCAGCAAAGACTGCCAAAACGTGTTAAATTGATTTCACAATTTTACAGTTGTTGTGTTAGAAAATTAGAATGATTGTGCAGTCTTATCTTTGAATCTATGCATTTTTCTAGTATCTAACTAATATAGTCGTTGTGTTAGAAAATATGAATGATTATATAGTCTTATCTAATACTTTGAACATACCAAAATTGTCGGGACAGTTTCAAATCTGTTTAGAATTGCAGATTTAAGTAATTTGGGGTAAGATTCAGACAATCTTTGAGTTTTTTGGTGTGTTAGAAAATGTGACGGGTCTTTGTTTGTTCTTGACTCGTGTCATGTGTTCCTTAATATGTATTAGTTTTATATTTTTCGGTTTCTACTGCCAAGATTCTTTAGTTTCTTCCGAGGTTTTTCTGTCTGTTTAATTTTTAATCTTCTCTTTTACTCGAATTTTGATCCTTCCAAGTGAGAATTGGTTAGCTTATTTACTGACTCAATGTCAATATCACAAAGAATTAGATAAGACTTTTTGCATCAATTTCAGAAATTGAAAAGTCGTTTGAATACGAGAAATTTGAAGTGGATTGACATCTAGTCCAATTACATTTGAAACATTGAGCATTGCTTGACGTAAATTAAAATTAAGATTTTAATTCAAGTCAAAATTAATAATTATTTTTAATCATACATTTTATGAGACCCACAACTTTTCAAGTACAGTTCATCTTCTATCAAAATTTGCTAAAAACTGATTTTAATATTCACCAAATAGGGGTTGAAAAAAAAAAAAAAAACTAAATAAAGAAGTTTCATAATATTAACCCTCGAAATAAAGTTCGCGAACCCAACTAATCATTGGCGAAGCGAAAGACGATATACAAGCGGAGGAAAAAGGTGAAAGGCTCACCTAAAGGTCACTTGCCATTTTTCATATCTAGTTTGGTTATAGATTGTCAATAAAGGACAAGCGAGAAATTGAGCAAAGCGTGATTCATAACTGAATTAGTTTTAGTTAACAGAGAGTTTCTATCTAGCACATCATAGAAATGACCAAACTATCTCAACGCGTGGAAGGAAACTTAAAAATACCCCAGTATTTGAAGAACACATGCAATTCAAATATCTCATTCTCAAATATTTATTTCTCTTCTTGTTCTAGTTGAAGTATCAAAACTAATAAATTTAGGATGTGAAAGTCATCGTTAGTTGAGAGGATTTGTTGATTGTATTTACATTGATATTCGATTGTAATTGTTTTATCAATAAAATTGTTGCCGTATGTGAAAAACTGAAGCAAAGTAGACCACGAATTCTCACGCTCCAGCTAATGGATACTTGGAATAAAAGGAAATGAAACAAGTAAGGATAAATCAAACATCTGCCACAATACTAAGGAATGAAAATCCAGAGAGTGGCATTGCTATAGCAAATATAAGAGTAAATTCGACGGCAAAAAAATCCAAAAAATGGCCAATGATTTAAAAGCACTAATGATGGAATGCGCTGCTCTATGTACGAAGATATAGAACCTGTAAATCAAGCGTATGAGAAAAGGTAAATGTACAGGTAATGCACAATCCTTATCCTCGTCAATTACATCTATCGAACCTAGAATCGAAATTTCAAGCGTTGAGAAGAGACAATCGTGATTTGTGCAATAATGGCAGGTAAATGTCTTCATCACAGAATATTGGACAGTGAGTGAACATAAAATGTACTCTACTATGAAACATTCGACCGGTTACGAAAGAGTAACCTTTGAATTCCTGTGACGGATCCTTACCACTTCACCAAAAGAGGCTAGTTCTTCGCTGACAGGCCACTTTGTTAATGAAGATAGAAAAGGAGCCCTAAGCCTATCAAGGACATATTAATTTTAACATCTTCAAAGGTAAATCCGCATATGATGAAATCCTTGGACAACTTACCCTGGAGCAGGCGAACATAATCATCTCTCTCCATCATTTGAATGTGATATATTCCACCAATAAAAGTGAAATATCTTTAAAGTACAATCAAGAAATCTTACATAAGAATTATAAAAGCAACAAAGGAGACTGAGAGCTCTTAGAAATATTGTTGCTATAGTTGAAACAAGTAACCCCGGGGATAAATTAGAAATTGATGACTCTATTGACCCTTGCATAACTGAGTGTACAATAGCAAAGACAACGGTCAAAGAGCTAGAAAGCTTTTTCGTTGGCTGAGAAGATTCAAGCATAGCTCTCAAAATCGGAAAAGAGGCTTCCTAAAAAACCTTCCTAGTTGCGAACCTAGATGTGTTCGTTTGGAAATATGCGGACATGATAGGGATCGACCCCAAAGTTGAATTCACGCCTTGAGGCTCAATCCCAAGATCAAGCCTAAAATACAAAAACGTTGACCGACGAGTGCCGAAAAATATGTGGTACTGAAAAGCTAGGTAGATAAGATATTGGAAAATGACTTTATTCGTGAAGCTCGATATAATTTGGGTATGCAATCCGGTTTTAGTAACATAGAGCAACGAAAAATGGCGAACTTGCTAAAACTTTAAGGACTTGAATAAAGCCTATCCAAAAGACAGCTTCATGCTTTCCAGAATTGATCAGTTGGTGGATGCTACTATAAGACACGAGCTATTAAGTTTTATAGATGCATATTCGGGATACAATCAAATTCCAATGTATGGACCTC